TATCTCCCAGAAGTGAGTCCACCCCTCACATTTTTGTAAATATTTGATTCTATCTTTTCATGTGACAACACTGAAGAAATGACACTTTGCTACAATGTGACGTAGTGAGTGTACAGCTTGTATAACATGTAAATTTGCTGTCCCCTCAAAATAACTCAACACACAGCCATTAATGTCTAAACCGCTGGCCAATTTATCAGACTATCACCTACTCTGCTCACTTTTAGGTGATCTCTGAAAACCTCTCTTCAGAGAAGCCTATTCTGCCTTCAGCTAATAATGGAATCTTCTATTCCTCCTACCAGTCCATCCCCCACAGTTATTACCTTTTGTTCCACTAGCCCCTCCCTCTTAGATTGTAAGCTCCAAGGAGCAGGGCATATATATATATATATATATATATATATATATATATATATATATATATATATATATAATCTATCTCACTCTGAAAATACATCAGAGAAAAATCTGCTTGATCTCTATACTGATATAGATGTGTTAGGAATGTAAGGATGCCCCATCGTTTGATGAAAATGATCGACCTACAGAGGACTGAATTCAAAGACACCGTGAAAATCAAAGTGAAAAAATGATGCAGCAGGCTAATCATTTTTCCTGAAATTTCATTGCAGCAACTCAGAATGGTCCTCAGTAGTTTGTATGACCCCCACGTGCTTGTATGCATTCCTGACGACGTTGGGGCATGCTTCTAATGAGATGACGAATGGTGTTCTGGGTTATGTCCTCCCAGATCTGGACCAGGGCATCACTGAGCTTCTGGACAGTCTGAGGTGCAACCTGCCGGTGTTGGATGGACCGAAACAGTATATCCGAGAGAAGTTCTATTTGATTTAGGTCAGGCAAGCGTGGGGGCCATTCAATGGTATCAATTCTTTCATCCTCCAGGAACTGCCTACATACTCTTGCCTCATGCGCACTGGCATTGTCGTGCACTAGGAGGAATCCAGGACCCACTGCACCAGTGTAGGGTCTGACAATGGGTCCAAGGATTTCATCCCGATACCTAATGGCAGTCAGGGTGCCATTATGGTGTGTGTGTGTGTGTGTGTGTGTGTGTGTCCGTCCGTCCGTCCATGGATCTTACCTCTCCAGATCATCACTGACCCACCACCAAAACGGTCATGCTGAATGATGTTACAGGCAACATAATGTTCTCCACGGCTTCTCCAGACCCTTTCACATCTGTCACATATGCTCAGGGTGAACCTGCTCTCATCTGTGAAAAGAACAGGGTGCCAGTGGTGGACCTGCCAATTCTGGTGTTCAGTGGCAAATGCCAATCGAGCTCTATGGTGCCGGACAATGAGCACAGTGCCACTAGAGGATGTCGGGCCCTCAGGCTACCCTCATGAAGCTTGTTTCTGATTGTTTGGTCAGAGACATTCACACCAGTGGCCTGCTTGAGGTTATTTTGTAGGGCTCTGGCAGTGTTCATCCTTTTCCTCCTTGCACAAAGGAGCAGATGCTGGTCCTGCTGATGGGTTAAGGACCTTCTACAGCCCTTTCCAGCTCTTCTAGAGTAACTGCCTGTCTCCTGGAATCTCTCCATGCTCTTGAGACTGTGCTGGGAGACACCGCAAACCTTCTGGCAATGGTGCGTATTGATATGCCATCCTGGAGGAGTTGGACTGTCTGTGCAACCTCTGTAGGGTCCAGGTACGGCCTCATGCTACCAGTTATGACACTTACCCTAGCCAAATACAAAAACTAGTGAAAAACAGTGAGAAAAGATGAGTAGGGAAAAAAATGTCAGTAGCCTCCACCTGTAAAACTGTTCCTGTTTTGGGTCATCTCATTGTTGCCCATCTATTGCACCTGTTGTTAATCAGTTGCAGCTGCTTTGGTGTAAATGAAATTAACAACCCCCTCTGCTACTTAACTGACCAGATCAATATCCCAGGAGTTTCATTGACTTGATGCTAGACTCTGATTAAAAAGTGTTCCTTTTTTTTTTTTTTTTTTAATATACAGTTGTGTTCAAAATAATAGCAGTGTGTTGAAAAAAGTGAATAAAGCTCAAAATCCTTCTAATAGCTTTTATTTCCATACACACAAATGCATTGGGAACACTACACATTCTATTCCAAATCAAAACATGAAGAAAAATATATCAAATTTGTGTTGTTCCTAAAAAAAAATTGAAGAAAAGTGAATATTAGACTGTTCAAAAAATAGCAGTGTTTGTATTCTTCTTTACAAACTCAAACATTCACTATATAAACTGAAAAATGTTTGAAGATTTTGCTTTCCTTTGAATCACTTAATGAATATTTGGTTGTATAAGCACTGTTTCTGAGAACTGCTGTACATCTGTGTTGCATGGAGTCAACCAACTTCTGGCACCTGTGATCAGGTATTCCAGCCCAGGATGATTGGACTACATTCCACAGTTCTTCTCTATTTCTTGGTTTTGCCTCAGAAACTGCATTTTTGATGTCACCCCACAAGTTTTCTATTGGATTAAGATCCGGGGATTGGGCTGGCCACTCCATAACGTCAATCTTGTTGGTCTGGAACCAAGATGTTGCACGTTTACTGGTGTGTTTTGGGGTCGTTGTCTTGTTGGAACACCCATTTCAAAGGCATTTCCTCTTCAGCATAAGGCAGCATGACCTCTTCAAGTATTCTGATGTATTCAAACTGATCCATGATCCCTGGTATGCGATAAATAGGCCCACCACGGTAGTATGAGAAACATCCCCATATCATGATGTTTGCACCACCATGCTTCACTGTCTTCACAGTGTACTGTGGCTTGAATTCAGTGTTTGGGGGTCGTCTGACAAACTGTCTCCGGCCACTAGACCCAAAAAGAACAATCTTACTTTCATCAGTCCACAAAATGTTGCGCCATTTCTCTTTAGGCCAGTCAATGTGCTCTTTGGCAAATTGTAACATCTTCAGCACGTCTTTTTTTTCAACAGTGGGACTTTGCGGGGGCTTCTTGCAGATAGCTTGGCTTCACATAGGCGTCTTCTAATTGTAACAGTACTCACAGGTAACTTTAGACCTTCTTTGATCTTCCTGGAGCTGATTGTTGGCTCAGTCCTTGCCATTTTGGCTATTCTTCTATCCATTTGAATGGTAGTTTTTCGCTTTCTTCCACGTCTTTCAGGTTTTGGTTGCCATTTTAAAGCATTTGCGATCATTTTAGCTGAGCAGCATATCATTTTCTGCACTTCTTTATATGTTTTTTCCCCTCTCCAATCAACTTTTTAATCAAGGTACACTGTTCTTCTGAACATGTCTGGAATGACCCATTTTCCTCAGAATTTCAGAGAGAAATGCACTGTAACCAGCATGTACAACATTTGCTGCCTTCCTTCCTTAAATAAGGGCAATAATTGCCACCTGATTTTCAAAGAATGAATGACCTCACTAATAGAACTCCACACTGCTATTATTTTGAACATGCCCCTTTCAATTAGTGATTCAATGACACAGAATCAGCAAATTATTTGCCATGTAGAAATATCATTTTTCAAAAACAGTGATTGATCAGGTTAGTGATGTCTGACTGCTATTATTTTGAACACAACTATGTGTATGTGTATATAATATATAATTATTTATTACAGGTATTTATAAAGTACCACCAATTTACTCATCACAAGCACGTTAAGATCAGTCCCTGACCACAAGGAGCTTGCAATCTAAGCCCTAGTTCACACCAAATGCGATTTCACAGTGGTGCAATTTAAATGCGACTTCAAAGTAGTGCTGATATAGACACAGGTGTGATTTTCCTTTTACCTTAGCCCTGGTTCACACTGTTGTGCCTTCAAGTGCAACATGCAATTTGCAAATCACACCTTGTCACATCTACTATATTTCAAGTAGCACAATTTGAAAAATAGTTCCTGCATTACTTTTTCACCACTTCAGTAAAATTGAATTCTAGACTATAAGGTAAATGGCACTGAAATTGCACCTGTGTCTATAACAGCTCTACTTTTGTTGTTCTTTAAATGGGACCAAATTGCACCACTTTGAAATCGCATTCCATGTGAACCAGGGCTAACTCGCATTCATATACCTTCTAGAGTCAATGTAGACCGGAGCCAGTTATCCTCTACCAGCATGTGTTTGGAATGTGGGAGGAAACCCACGCAGCACAGGGAGAACACGCAAACTCCATGCAGATGGTGTCTTGGTTGGGATTGTATCAAGGACCCCAGTGTAGCAAAACTGAAGTACTTACTGCTAAGCTGCTGTGAGAAAGGGTTTTCAGTTTTTGCACGTATTTCACAGTTGTTGTTTTTTTGGTGCTGGGTGAGGGATTATACTAGTGAAAGATCCTTGGCCAAGCACTTGCCCCCCCGCCTGTTCTGGGCTGACAGCCAGTTGCCAGCACTGAAAGCCAAATATCTACATCCTCCCAGGCTATACCCCTGATGGACCGTTTACTTCCTCTTCCAATTACTCCTTATCCTCTTCTATACCAAAAACAAAAAGTACCTGCTGGTATCCTACATGCCCCAGCATGACCTGTATACATGGCAGAATTGTAACCTTACACCATACACTCCCTGGGTGATCCTCATTGATGATTTGTATCTGTTCTGCCACTCTCAAGGCCACAAATTCTTTATTTTAGGCCTCCGTTCTCATTTATGGCCTTTTTCCCATAGGTACAAAAAATGGCAACCGTCCCAACCTAGCCTTAGCAGTAAGGTGCACATGGAAGGGCAATGCACATCCCAAACAAAGGATTTCCCAGCAACACTTACCAGCCAGCCTGCAAAACAAACAATTTGGCCCTGTCTAATAGCTTGAGTTAAAAACAGAGGGTTTTGTTTGCACACATTTGCAAGTACATGCATATAGGTTGGGATGGCTGCCATTTTTTTAAATGTGAGTTAAGTGAAGATTTTTTTTGTTTGTTTTTTTTGGGGTTTTATTTTTTTAGCTCAGAGTTGAGCTTTAGGAAATGAGACCGTAAAGCCATGAATTTAATTTGTGGATGTTTATTTTAGAATCCAGTGACAGGTTTGCTGCCAGCCAGCTGCGAACATAAAGACGCCTGGGTGCGTGACAACGTGTACACCATCCTAGCAGTATGGGGTCTGAGCCTTGCTTACAGGAAGAATGCCGACCGCGATGAGGACAAGGCGAAGGCTTATGAGCTGGAACAGGTAAGATAGGTTCAATATGGTCACCCAATGTAATCTGTAATATCTCCAGAACCATTCTGAATATGTGCAGCATTTACCTTGTGCTCATGTTGTTGTATACTTATTATATATACCGGTGGGAGTCTGATGGATTTAGCTCCACGTGTTCTACAACCTCATTTCTTATGGCTGCTAATAAAGGCTGTCCTGTCCTAAGCCGCGTCTAAAATTTCACGCAGTGTGTCCCTGCTAAAGGTCATTCTCAATATCCTGTGTCATGCTGCCTGACCCGTAGGGACAAGGATAAACAGAATGCTACCACCAAATTGGTTATTTTGTTTGCATGAACTTATCTGCTTGCTTCTTGTGTTTCTAAACGTACACTCATTCTTGTATATCTTCATTTGTTTTTGATAAATCTTGGCAGGACCAGGGATTTTTCTCTCAGAGAATAGGTGCGTGTACTCACCCCCTTGTCTTCACCCCCCTACCCACCTCTGAGCACTGTCTCTTGGTTCCACTACACCTACCCACCTCTGAGCACCGTCTCTTGGTTCCACTCCACCTACCCACCTCTGAGCACCATCTCTTGGTTCCACTCCACCTACCCACCTCTGAGCACCGTCTCTTAGTTCCACACCCCCAACCCACCTATGAGCACCGTCTCTTGGTTCCATCCCCCTACCACCTCTGAGCACCGTCTCTTGGTTCCATCCCCCTACCAACCTCTGAGCACCGTCTCTTGGTTCCACCCTCCTACTCACCTCTGAGCACCGTCTCTTGGTTCCACCCTCCTCACCTCTGAGCACCGTCTCTTGGTTCCACCCTCCTACCCACCTCTGAGCACCGTCTTTTGGTTCACCCCCCCTACCCACCTGTGAGCACCGTCTCTTGGTTCAACCCCCCTACCCACCTCTGAGCACCGTCTCTTGGGTTCAACCCCCCTACCCACCTCTGAGCACCGTCTCCTGGTTCCACCCCCTACCCATCTCTGAGCACCGTCTCCTGGTTCCACCTCCCCCTACCCACCTCTGAGCACCGTCTCCTGGTTCCACCTCCCCCTACCCACCTCTGAGCACCGTCTCCTGGTTCCACCTCCCCCTACCCACCTCTGAGCACAGTCTCCTGGTTCCACCCTCCTACCCACCTCTGAGCACCATCTCCTGGTTCTACCCCCCTACCCACCTCTGAGCACCGTCTCTTGGTTCCACCCCCTACCTACCACCCAGTACCGCCCCTTTTAGAAAGTACAGAACCAGGTATCATATTCTGGTGCTAAGCAATTTGTATGGAATAGTAACAAGAAAAGCAGTAAAATAGATCCTGTACCGCAAGCAATAATAACCTCCCCCAGTTTTTATACTTGGGGACAATAATTGTTAAAAGACAAAAAAAATTCCTAGTGCCAAAAATGCTTGCTGCATTTGGTAATAAAAATACTGTATACTGGAAAGAAAGTCACACTGAATGTCTGCTGTCAAGGAAGCATTCCCGCTGACTGTTGTATCGCTCCCTCACCACGGCTCAGGATCCAAGGTAGGTTTTCCTGGGCAAAACAATATTGGCAACCATAGCCTGAAAAAGTTTATGCAGATTCAAACTGCACTGCATTGCCCCCCTTGGACCAGACTAGCGCAAATTTAATTGATCCTTTTAACTGTAGACGTAGCCTGGGGTTGTAATTTAGAATGATTGCTCACTGGATGTAGCCAATGACGTGCCTTCTTTTTTTTTTTTTTTTTTCCTCAAACAGAATGTGGTTAAGCTTATGAGAGGTCTTCTCCAATGTATGATAAGACAGGTAAGCATGTCCACAGCTTGATCAGCAGTAGTCTATAATGCTCAAAAAAGTCTTCGAAAAGCTTCAATAACTTGTTACTCTAGTTTTTCTGTTACTGCTTGATGCTAATTTAACATGGCAGAGATGCTTGAACTAATTGGGGCTTTTTCATTATGTGACTTTTACACAGGTCTCCAAAGTGGAAGAATTTAAGTACAGTCAGGGCACCAGGGATTCCCTCCATGCCAAGTATAACACCAGTACCTGTTCTACCGTTGTTGGGGATGATCAGTGGGGTCATCTGCAGCTTGATGCCACCTCTATCTTTCTGCTGTTCCTGGCACAAATGACTGCATCTGGTATGTGTGTGAATATAGATAGATATTTTTATTCATGCAGAGACCTCCTCTTTGTATGACCGGGTCTGTGCAGAGACCTCTCTTGAGTTACTGGATCTCTGCGAGGGGGACCTGTCTGTGTGGCCAAGTCCGAATGACAAGGTCACTGCAGAGAACTCCCTGTATGGCCAGGTCTTTGCTGAGACCTCTCTATGTGACGGGGTCCCCGCAGAGGACTTGTCCATATTACCACACTACGACAACAGTTGCTGCCCTTGTTTTTACCTTTTTTCATGCTTTGTTGCTTCTCAGTGCTGCTGATCTCTTGCAACCCTTTTTGCAGTCATTCCCTGTCTTTATGCAGGAGGACACTGAGATGTAACAAAGGATGCAAAAAAGATAAAGCAGGTATTGTAAAAAAATTAAGTGGAAACAGGACAGCACTGTTTTTTTTTTTTTTTTTTTTTTTTTTTTTTTTTTTTTTTTTTTTTTTTTTTTTTTTTTTTTTTTTTTTTTTGCAGGATCAACAGTTATTTTATTGCACGTCTGTAACAAATATAACGGAACATTTTCAATAGTATAAAAACAAGACCAAACGGGATCTAATAATTTATTGCGGGGGTAATATTGATTGCCTGCCTTCTTCCCCCCAGGTCTTCATATAGTCTACACTCTGGATGAGGTTACCTTTGTCCAAAATTTGGTCTTTTACATTGAAGCCGCTTATAAAACGGCGGTAAGTGAGATCAGCATGTATAGGATTATAGGGTGTGATTTGCCAAAAATAATTTGCTATTCATTTTTAATGTGGTCTGTATAATCTTCCAGGACTTTGGGATGTGGGAACGTGGCGATAAGACAAACCAGGGGATTGCTGAGCTAAATGCCAGCTCCGTAGGAATGGCCAAGGTAATGAAGCACTGTACACACAGGTGTTTTTTTTTCTTCTTCCTTTTTCTTTTTTTTTTTTTTTTTTCCAATTACATATTACTTTACTTTCAGAAAATATTATCTTTGCCAACAAATTAATAATTAATTTATACATCCCTGCCTAAAGTTGCTACATTATTTATGTTTGACTTCACGATTGGGCCAAGAAAAGTACTTAAGATGCAATTTGGAATGTGAATAAAGCCCTAAATAAATATAATGGTCTCTTCTTAAGGGCCCTGGCATACTTTCTGTCTTAGTGACAACTTGCTTACCTGCTCCATGAGTGAGGTGTCACTTTCTTGCTGGCCAGATGAGTAAGGTGTCAATCCTTTGTTGGCTGGATGAGCAGGGTGTTGCTCCCTTGCTGACAGGGATGGAGGAGGCATCACTTTTTTGTTGGCCAGGAAGAGCAGCGTGTCTCTCCTCATTGGCCACTTAGAGCGCGGCATTGCACCCTTGCTGGATAGGATGAGTGATGTTTCCTTGTTGGCCAGTGTGGTGAGGTGTTGCTCGTTCATTTGCCGGATGAGCAAGGTGTTGCTCCCTTGCTGCTGGGTGCACAAGGCATCGCTCCCTGGACGGGTGAGAAAGCGCCACTCCCTTGCCGGCTGGGACGGGCGAGACACATCTTATGGCTTTATGATAAAATCCATCTCCTCCCTAGGCTGCCCTGGAAGCTCTGGATGAGCTGAATTTGTTTGGTGCTAAAGGTGGCCCCCAGTCTGTTATCCATGTGTTGTCTGATGAGATCCAGCACTGTCAGGTAGGGTGACAACCTACACTAGTGTTCTCCTCATTTCTTCCTCTTGCACCATTGTAATCGTTTTTTGCCTCTTTTATAGTCTATTCTTCAGTCTATGCTTCCAAGAGCTTCCTCATCCAAGGAGATAGATGCTGGTGTCCTCTCCGTCATCTCCTTTCCTGCCTTTGCTGTAGAGGACGCTCAGTTAGTGGACATCACAAAACAGGAAATCATCAACAAGTTACAGGTATCATTTCAGTGAAATATCGACTTTATGTACATATATATAATTCTCTTTTGGTTCCATAATTCTTTTATCAGATTTGTTGGGGTTTCCCCCAATGCATTGGTCCTCCTAGTTCCCTCCCAGCTTTATGCCCAGGATGCTTCTTTTAATGCATCTCCTTATACCTTCTAAAAATGTGGGATGGAGATTAAGCTTCATTTGCACTGCAGAGATGAAATAGAATCCCAATCTATAAGAAATAGAAACAAAGTGTATAATTTATTATTAAAAAAGGATAAGTAATAATTTCTGTGTATAGGAGACAAATATGGAGGATATGAGAGCAGGCAGAATTTCTAGGGGAGGAGTGTGGAGGGTATGCCGGTGGGCAATATATACAGGAGAGGAGTGTGGAGGGTATGACAGTGAGCAGTATGTACAGTAGAGGAGTGTGAAGGGTATGACAGTGGGCAATATGTACAGGAAAGGAGTGTGAAGGGTATGACAGTGGGCAGTATGTACAGGAGAGGAGTGTGAAGGGTATGACAGTGAGCAGTATGTACAAGAGAGGAGTGCAGACGGTATGAGAGTGGGCAGTATGTACAGGAGAAGAGTGTGGAGGGTATGACAGTGAGCAGTATGTACAGTAGAGGAGTGCAGACAGTATGACAGTTGGCAGTATGTACAGGAGGGGAGTGCAGATGGTATGACAGTGGACAGTATATACAGGAGGGAAGTGTGGAGTGCATGACAGTGGGCAGCATGTACAGGAGGGGAGTGTGGAGGGTATGACAGTGGACTGTATATACAGGAGGGGAGTGTGGAAGTCATGACTGTGGGCAGTATGTACAGGAGGGAAGTGCAGACGTATGAGAGTGGGCAGCATGTACAGGAGAGGAGTGTAGACGGTATGAGAGTGGGCAGTATGTACAGGAGAGGAGTGTAGAGGGTATGACAGTGAGCAGTATGTACAGGAGGGAAGTGCAGACGGTATGACAGTGAATAGTATATACAGGGGGGAAATGTGGAGGGCATGACAGTGGGCAGCATATACAGGAGGGGACTGTGGAGAGCATAACAGTGGGCTCTATGTACAGGAGAGGAGTGTGTGGAGGGTATGAGAGTAATGTGCAGAGGAAAGGAGTGCAGAGGGTATGACCGTATCTATTGGAGAGGACTAAGGAAAGTATGACTGTGGGCAGTATGCATCCAGCATACTTTTCTGTAATAAATGGTGTGCATGGGGGGGGGAAGGGAGTGACCGACAGTAGACACAGTATGGACAAGGTGTTTACAGGGACTATAATGCAGACAATGGAGTTGCCAGAGCACGTAGTATTGACACAGGGATACATTTTCCTAAAGAACTGTGTGGAGAGGGTTGGTTATTGGACTTGGCTGTTTTCAAGGGTGTGGAAATAAAAGTAAATACATTTTAAAAATTGAATAAATAAACTGCACAAAAAAAAATTCAGTTACATTTCTAATATATTTTTATAGAATAAATGTAAATTATTATTTTTTTAAAATGTACAGTCAGGTCCATAAATATTGGGACATCAACACAATTCTAACATTTTTGGCTCTATACACCACCACAATGGATTTGAAATGAAACTAACAAGATGTGCTTTAACTGCAGACTGTCAGCTTTAATTTGATGGTATTTACATCCAAATCAGGTGAACGGTGTAGGAATTACAACAGTTTGCATATGTTCCTCCCACTAGTTAAGGGACCAAAAGTAATGGGACAGAATAATAATCATAAATCAAACTTTCACTTTTTAATACTTGGTTGCAAATCCTTTGCAGTCAATTACAGCCTGAAGTCTGGAATGCATAGACATCACCAGACGCTGGGTTTCATCCCTGGTGATGCTCTGCCAGCCCTCTACTGCAACTGTCTTCAGTTCCTGCTTGTTCTTGAGGCATTTTCCCTTCAGTTTTGTCTTCAGCAAGTGAAATGCATGCTCAATCGGATTCAGGTCAGGTGATTGACTTGGCCATTGCATAGCATTCCACTTCTTTCCCTTAAACTCTTTGGTTGCTTTTGCAGTATGCTTTGGGTCATTGTCCATCTGCACTGTGAAGCGGCGTCCAATGAGTTCTGAAGCATTTGGCTGAATATGAGCAGATAATATTGCCGAAACACTTCAGAATTCATCCTGCTGCTTTTGTCAGCAGTCACATCATCAATAAATACAAGAGAACCAGTTCCATGGGCAGCCATACATGCCCACGCCATGACACTACCACCACCATGCTTCACTGATGAGGTGGTATGCTTAGGATCATGAGCAGTTCCTTTCCTTCTCCATACTCTTCTCTTCCCATCACTCTGGTACAAGTTGATCTTGGTCTCCTCTGTCCATAGGATGTTGTTCCAGAACTGTGAAGGCTTTTTTAGATGTCGTTTGGCAAACTCTAATCTGGCCTTCCTGTTTTTGAGGCTCACCGATGGTTTACATCTTGTGGTGAACCCTCTCTATTCACTCTGGTGAAGTCTTCTCTTGATTGTTGGCTTTGACACACATACACCTACCTCCTGGAGAGTGTTCTTGATCTGGCCAACTGTTGTGAAGGGTGTTTTCTTTACCAGGGAAAGAATTCTTCGGTCATCGACCACAGTTGTTTTCCGTGGTCTTCCGGGTCTTTTGGTGTTGCTGAGCTCACCGGTGCGTTCCTTCTTTTTAAGAATGTTCCAAACAGTTGTTTTGGCCACGCCTAATGTTTTTGCTATCTCTCTGATGGGTTTGTTTTGTTTTTTCAGCCTAATGATGGCTTGCTTCACTGATAGTGACAGCTCTTTGGATCTCATCTTGAAAGTTGACAGCAACAGATTCCAAATGTAAATAGCACACTTGAAATTAACTCTGGACCTTTTATCTGCTCATTGTAATTGGGAAAATGAGGGAATAACACACACCTGGCCATGGAACAGCTGAGAAGCCAATTGTCCCATTACTTTTGGTCCCTTAACAAGTGGGAGGCACATATGCAAACTGTTGTAATTCCTACACCGTTCACCTGATTTGGATGTAAATACCCTCAAATTAAAGCTGACAGTCTGCAGTTAAAGCACATCTTGTTAGTTTCATTTCAAATCCATTGTGGTGGTGTATAGAGCCAAAAATGTTAGAATTGTGTCGATGTCCCAATATTTATGGACCTGACTGTATATAGTACCAACAGTTTGCCTTCGCTTTGTAAAGAGCTGCACAGACAGTACAGTTACAATACAATTCAATACAAGACAAATCTGAGCATAGAATGTCATAATAGGTATAAAAAAATAAACTATAAATCTAAATATTGGCATTTGGATTGGGTCTTATCCAGTGACCAGATTTATCCTCCTAGTATTTAGTTTTCTTCTACGGTCTGTCCTCCATCATTCTTCCTACAATATATTTCATTAAAGTGGTTCTAAAGGCAGACCTTTTTTTTTTACCTTAATGCCTTTAAGGTAGAAAAACCTCCTGGGTGCAGCTCCCCCCTGAGCCTCATCTCGATCCAGCAATGTACACGAGAGCCGCGGCTCTCCCAAGTCTCTCATTGGCTCCTACTACTGTCAATCACAGTTAGTGAGCCAATGAATCAGCGGGGAGCTGGGCTGAGGCACGCTTTGTGTGTGAATAGAATATGGAATAGTCCATTCAAAGGAGCGCGGCTCAGGAGCGAGCCTGCTCCAGTGCCCCCTTAGCAAGAGCCTTGCTATTGGGGGCAATCGGAAGGAGAGAGGCTCCAGGACCGTCGGAACCCAAAAAGAAGAGGATTAGGGCTGCTTTTTGCAAAGTTAAGTATAACCTGTTTGTTTATTTTTTATTAATATTATTATTATTATTTTTATTTTTTTATTTTTTTTGCAACCTTTAGAAATCACTTTAACTGTTTTATTAAAGTATTGTACCTGACCTTTATGGTCCCTTGTTTGTTTGCTTGTTTTTAATTGGTGATCTTTTTATTACACAGGGTCGATATGGTTGTTGTCGTTTTCTTCGTGACGGATATCGTACTCCAAAAGAGGTATAAGCCCTCCCTGAATATTATAGTTCTGAGATCTAAAAATGCCAATATATTCCTTTTTATTTTATATATTCTGTCTTCATTAACAGTAATATTTTATGTTGTGTTTTTGTATACTCTAAAAAACAAATTCTTTGGTTGGTGAACATTGTCCAGGATCCGACCCGGCTGTATTATGAGCCTGCAGAGCTGAAGCTGTTTGAGAATATTGAGTGTGAGTGGCCTCTCTTCTGGACATATTTAATCCTCGATGGTATCTTCATCGGTGATCTGGAACAGGTGAGGCCTGCCAGGTGTGGGGCATTGGACTTGGTAAACCTGTAGTGAACATGCCCTTTAACTTTCCATTTGTTTTTTTTTTTTTTTTTTTTTTTTTTTTTTTTTTTTCCTCATCCCAGATGCAGGAATATAGAGATGCTCTGGAAGGCGTCCTCATCAAGGGGAAGCACGGCATCCATCTAGTTCCAGAATTATACAGTGTTCCCGAGGAGAAGGTCTGCAGACAGGGAAATTGCTGCAAATCTACAATAGAAAGAGCAAAATTTGGAAATTCAATTTTTTTTTCCCCCTTTTTTTTTCAGGTAGAAGAAGAATATAGAAATCCGCACACTGTAGATCGAGTAGCCATGGGGAAACTTCCACATATGTGGGGACAGTCACTTTATATTTTAGGGTGTTTGATGTCTGAGGTAATCAACCACATTTCTCTTTTCCCTGTATCCATTATTTCAGTAATTCTGCTGATGAGTTGTTGCAGGCCACATGGTTTAGATTGGTCCTTGTTGGTCACCAAGGTTTTGTGGTAGTTGTGACTGCTGTTTGTAGGTGGCCCCAGTATGATTGTCTCCTTCTGTACTGCAAATAGTAAAGGATATCTACTCAGCTTGCCCGGCAAGACCAGTCAAGTATCCTCTACCCCAAACTCCCTCATCCATGTCTTTATGGACCTTGCTTTGTGCACTGGTGCGCAGTCATGTTGGAACAGGAAGGGGCCATCCCCAAACTCTTCCCACAAAGTTGGGAGCATGAAATTGTCCAAAATGTCTTGGTGTGCTGACACCTTAAGAGTTCCCTCCACTGGAACTAGGGGGTCAAACCCAACCACTGAAAAACAACTCCACACCATAATCCCCCCTCCACCAAAGTTTACACTCGGCACAATACAGTCAGGCAAGTACCGTTCTCCTGGCAACCACCAAACCCAGACACGTCCATCGGATTGCCAGACAGAGAAGCGTGATTGGTCACTCCAGAGAACATGTCTCCACTGCTCTAGAGTCCAGTTGCAGTGTGCTTTACACCATTGCATTGATGTAAGGCATGGATGCAGCTGCTTGGCTATGGAAACCCATTCCATGAAGCTCTGTATGCACTGTGTTATGCTAATATGAAGGCCACACCAAGTTTGGAGGTCTTTAGCTATTGACTCTGCAGACAGTTGGCGACTTCTGCACACTGTGCACTTCAAATGCGCTGACCCCACTCTGTCATTTTACGTGGCCTAACACTTGGTGGCTGAGTTGCTGTTGCTCGCAGTTGCTTCCATTTTGTTATAATCCCACTAATAGTTGAGCGTGGAATATTTAGTAGCAAGGAAATCACAGATGGACTTATTGCACAGGTGACAACCTATCACGGTACCACGCTTGGTGTCACTGAGCTCCTGAGAGCGACCCATTCTTTCACAAATGTTTGTAGAAGCAGTCTTCATGCCTAGGGGCTTGATTTTATACACCTGTGGCAATGGAGGTGATTGGAACACCTGAATCCAATGATTTGGAGGGCTGGCCCAATTAATTTGGCAATATAGTGTATGTGTAGCTGTCAGATATGTCAATATTGCAATTTTTCACTGTAAAGGCAAAGCTTTTGGGTTTTTTTCCCTTGGTTCCTTTTTTAGAACAAAAAGATTTCACTTTTCTTTTGGTTGATGGGTAGTGCCCATGTTACATCATAAAAATAAAGAGAAAATCCACAATTTTGTTTTCCTTTTTTTTTTTTTTTTTTTTTTTCTACTTACTGTGATATCTAGGGTTTCCTTGCTCCAGGAGAAATCGATCCTTTAAACAGGAGATTTTCTACAGTTCCCAAACCAGATGTAGTTGTCCAAGGTAAGGAAAAAAGGAATGATTTTCTCATTTTGTCAGCATGAATAAACTGTAAAGGTGAAGATTGTAGTGTGCATTTTTTATTTTGCTACAAGTTTATGATTTCTTTTTGATCTATTGAGAATAATCCATAGAAACCTAGAAGAGTGATAGAAGAAAAAAGACCAAGTGGTCCATCAAGTCTTAATGTATTTTATGTTTTGTTTTTTTTTTGGGGGGGGGGGGGGGGTTTGGGTATTTTCTTTTTTCTTCTTTTTTTTTTTTTTTTTTTTTTTTTTTTTGTCTGAGCATAGCTCTGTTTGTCTCAAGAATGTTTGAACCCACTTACTGTTGACTGACTGCTGGAAATCTATCCATATGATTGTTGCTCAGTGGTTAGGCTTATAAATTATTAATTTTATACTTCTGCATTCGTGTTACACTTGGGGCTTGTTTCAGTTGCAGCGTGGTAAAAACAGGTGGTTGAGTTGCATTTTTGCAGCCCCCATTAAGCAAAGGCCGCTGGACAGGGGTATACACATGCCAGGGTGCTTTTCTTTGTCCCCCTGTTTTGCAGTTAGCCTCTTCAGTAACAGGGTGAACCTGTTAAAGAAAAAAGTATACTTTCTACAGGTTATCTTTGTTTCTGAAGAAGCCAACCATGAAACACATCAGAATAGAGCCGCCATCCCTCTAATGTGCTAGGTTAAAATTGTATTCATATTTAGATTTATCTTAAACCCTTCCCGCCTGAGGCAAAACTGTACATATCACAACTATTTGGTGTATCCAGGTGGATTATACCGTGTTTTTTTTTTTTTAGGACAAACTGGGCTTTCATTTGGTGGTAAATGTTAACGGATATCTCCTGATGATTATAATTTTTTTTTTTTTTTTTTTATGTGGGAAAACTGGCCCAAAATAGTAAAAAAAAAAACACAAACATTTAAAAAAAAATTTTTTAGCTGTAGATTTGTTGCTACTACCATAACCTACCACCAAAGAACAACCCAAAATAATTTCTCCTGCTCTTGACAATACCACATGTGTATGTTTTGTTTGTACACGTGGTACGGCCCAGAAACAATAGTGGCAGGATGATAAAAAAAAAAGCAAAATGCGTACTAACTGACACGAATATAAAAAAAAAAAAACTGCCCCTGACCTTTGACCTTGAATACTAACCCTGGAACACGTCCCGAAACCAAACCTTGATCTAGGTAATTTTTAATTTATTATTTGTATTTATTTTACACACACTTTATTTTTTCTCTCTGAGGCTGGGTTCACACTCGTGCAGTGCAGTATATCGCATGTAATTCACATAGGAACCGCATTTCTGTGCAAATCACATTCGAATGTGTGCGTGTGTGTGTGGTGCGATTGGAACCATACATTTTGTATGGCTCAGATCGCACCACATCTGCACCAAAAAGGTGCAGGACCCTTTTTTTTTTTTTTTTTTTTTTTTTTTTTTTTTTTTTTTTTTTTTTTCGTTCGCACTAGAATCGAATCTCATGGGTATTCTCACCCATGCGATCTGATTCTGCACATTGCACCGCGTTTTACGGACCCATTTTGGGGTGTTGTTAGCTTAACATACACACCCACAGCGGTTTGCATGAATGGGGTGCGATTGTGGTGTGGAATTCGCACAGCAAACACTGTGAATTCCGCACTCCATCAGTATGAACCCTGGATGAAAGGACAGAGAGAGTTATACAGAAAGAATATGCAGGGCCGGGCTTCACAGTGACTGATCACCGTGATAGCCAATCCGAGACTATCACAGCGATCAGGTGACCCAGAATCAGGAGTTCCTGGTCCCAATCATTATAACGTGAACCAGGGCTTTCAGTGAGACCCCAATCCCTGTGCTGGGAGCTCCCAGCACAAAGAAAGGGTACGCAAATTAGCGGCCCAATGGAAAAAAGCCCAGTCCAGTGGAGCCGCTAATTTGCGTCCAGTCGGTGTGAAGTGGTTAAACGAGTTATCTTAAAAGTTAGTGGGAATTAAACCCCAATATAGCGATTTAAAGCAAGGAAATGTATGTAGCACTAAACATGTAAAAGGGAATGGGTAGCTAGGGACAGATTTGTGTTCTACTGTAAAGGTTCAAATTTTTTTGAATTTGGTGTAATACCGTTAGTCTTCTTCTTCTTTTTTTTTTTTTTTCTGTTTAAACCACAAAGATTTTATAGTTCATCAATAAAAATATTTTTTAGAGAAAGATGTGTGATTAATGTCTGGTATCAAAAAGGTCCAAATAAAATGTAATATTTCATATTTTTGGGATTGTAAGGGATTGTGGTGCCTATGATGACCCCACCAATGCACTTGGTATAGCTGATGGAGTTACGCTTTTACAGTACAGTAGTACCTCTATTTACAAATGTAATGCGTTCTCTTGGACGTTTCGTATTGCGAAAAATGTGTAAACCGGTTTCCCATAGGAATGCATTGAAAACCAATGAATCTGTTCCGGAGGTCAGAAAAAAGTCAAAAAAAGATTTATCTGTTCAAAACTCTTTTATGAAGTGCACTTTAAAGGCATAAATACTGTACAGGGACATTATTAAAAAATTTCCAGAATGGCTCCAAAACTCGATGCAAAAACCGCTCCAACACCTCCACACTCGACGCCACTTGCTACCCACAGACTCCAGCATGCATGGGGACGGCGCCAGGGGCGTATTTACCGCGAGGCAAACAAGGCGTTTGCCTAGGGTGGCACTTTTCAGGGGGGCGGCACGGCCCCCCTTCTCCCGGCAGAATTGACACAGGACACAGAGTGATCTGAGTGCTGGGACTAGGAGCAGCCGGACTCAGCTCTGCTCATTTTGTGTGCAATGGGGAGGCGGATTGACGCAGGGTCCATCGGCAGAGGCATCGGAGCTGACACCACACCAGCGACACTGATCCGCAGCTCTGTCCCTGGCTGGCTCCCAGCAGAGCGCACCGAAGCTGTTTCCCTCTCCTCCACTGTCTATATGTACACGGGAGGAGGAGAGACACCGCTGTGCAGGTCTGTGCTGATCTGAGGTCTGTACCGATTCTCTTTTATTGTTCCTGGGCAGAGGAGGGGGACAGAATGAGCGGGAAGGGGGGGGGGGCCCAAGTTAAAAAAAAAATTTGTGATGGGGGTTATGTGCTGGGGGGGGGGGGGCTACTTTGGGAGGGGAGAGGATCTATACTAGAAGTTGGTTTTGGAATTGAAATCTGACCCCACACAAGAGAACATGCCTTCTCCCTTCCCAAAGCACCGCCCCCCCCAGCACATATACGACCCCCCTGCACCTCCTATTAGCACAAGTGGAGGGGGGTTTATAATGATGGAGAAGGGCCTGTACTTAGTGGAAGGGGGGTCTATACTGAGGGAGGGGGAAGGGGGGAATCTATACTTAGAGGGAAATGAGGTCTGTACTCAGAGAGGGGGGTCTGTACTGAGGGGGGACTATACATGGTGGGGAGGGGGGACTATACTTGGTGGAGATGGGGTCTGGAGTGTGAGGGGGGATCTATACTTGGTGGAGAGGGGGTCTGTACTGAGGTGAGGGGGGGATCTATACTTGGTGGAGAGGGGGTCTGTACTGAGGTGAGGGGGGGGATCTATACTTGGTGGAGAGGGGGTTTGTACTGAGGTGAGGGGGGATCTATACTTGGTGGAGAGGGGGTCTGTACCGAGGTGAGGGGAGAATCTATACTTGGTGGAGAGGGGGTCTGTACTGATGTGAGGGGGGGGATCTATACTTGGTGGAGAGCAGGAGCGTATTTACCGCAAGGCAGCATTTTTGAGGGGGGGGGGGGGGTGGTAGTACTGGGGCAGGGAAGGGGGGGGGGGGGGGGGGGGGGGGCGTGATGGCAGCTGCCAATTTTTGTGTTGCCTAGGACATCACAAAACTTAAATACATCACTGGGCGGCGCTATAAACCTCCCAGGCGCAAGGCATCCTGAACGGAAACTTGCTTCGTATTGCAAAAAAAATTTGTAAATCGAGGCATTATTTGCAATGGATTTTCATTCGTAAACCAAATATTACGTTACGGAAACCGAGGTACCACTATACATTTCTGCCTGAAAGTTTTTAAAAAGCAGAATTTCACTTTTGTTTAAAAAATAATACAGCATTAGCAATTTCTACCCACACCATCCTTGTAATTTTGTTAAAAATTACCTTTCCTTTTCAATTCTTTTTTAAAACTGTCAAATTCAATATACAGTTGCAAGAAAAAGTATGTGAACCCCTTGGGATTACGTGGAGTTTTGCATGAATTGGGCATAAAATGTGAACGTCATCTATGTCACAACAGTAGAAGAACACAGTCTGCTGAACATAATACTACACAAACATTAGATGTTGCCATGGTTTAATTGCACATAACATGTAAACATTCACAGTGCAGGGAGGAAAAAGTATGTGAACCTTTGGACTTAATAACTGGTTGACCCTCCTTTGGCAGCAATAACCTCAACCAAACGTTTCCTGTAGTTGCAGATCAGACCTGCACAACGATCTGGAGTAATTTTGGACCACTCCTCTTCACAAAACTGTTTCAGTGTAGCAATATTCTTGGGATGTCTGGTGTGAATCACTCTCTTAAGGTCATGCCACAGCATTTCAATCGGGTTGAGGTCAGGACTCTGACTGGGCCACTCCAGAAGGCGTATTCTGTGCTGTTGCAGCCATTGTTTTGTTGAATTACTTGTATGCTTTTGGGTCATTGTCCTGTTTCATCACCCATCCTCTGCGGAGCTTCAGTTGGACAGATGGTCATACGTTTTCCTGCAAAATGTCTTGATAAACTCTGAATTCATTTTCCCATCAATGACAACAATCCGTCCAGGCCCTGAGGCAGCAAAGCAGCCCCAAACCATGATGCTCCCTCCGCCATGTTTTACAGTGGGGATGAGGTTTTGATGTTGGTGTGCTGTGCCTTTTTTTCTCCACACATAGTGTTGTGTGTTCTTCCCAAACAACTCAATCTTGGTTTCATCTGTCCACAGTATATTTTGCCAGTAGTGCTGTGGAACATCCAGGTGCTTCTTTTGCAAACTTCAAACGTGCTGCAATATTCTTTTTGGACAGCAATGGCTTCCTCCGTGGTGTCCTCCCATGTACTCCATTCTTGTTTAATGTTTTCCTTATTGTAGATGTGTCAACAAAAATGTTAGCATGTGCCAGAGATTTTTCTCTGTAGGTCTTTAGCTGACACTCTGGGATTCTTCTTTACCTCATGCAGCATTCTGCGCTGTGCTCTTGCAGTCATTTTTACAGGACAACCTGCCTAGGGAGAGTAGCAACAGTGCTAAACTTTCTCCATTTGTAGACAGTCTGTCTTACCGTGGACACATGAACATCAAGGCTTTTGGAGATACTTTTGTAACCCTTTCCAGCTTCATGCAAGTCAACAATTCTTGAGCGTAGGTCTTCTGAGAGCTCTTTTCTGCGAGGCATGGTTCACATCAGACAGTGATTCTTGAAACCAGTAAACCCAAAACAGGTGTGTGTTTTTTAAGGGCAGGACAGCTGTCAGCAACACATCCAATATCATCACACTGATTGGAGTCAAGGTTGGCTCACTCCTGGCTCCAATTAACTCTGGGAGAAGTCATTAAGCTAGGGCCTCACATACCTTTTCCTCCCTGCACTGTGAATGTTTACATGTTATGTGCAATTAAACCATGGCAACATCTAATGTTTGTGTAGTATTATGTTCAGCAGACTGTGTTCTTCTATTGTTGTGACTTAGATGACGTTCAGAGCACATTTTATGCCCAATTCATGCAAAAACTCCACGTAATCCCAAGGGGTTCACATACTTTTTCTTGCAACTGTAATTTGGTGATCCGGAGGCTGTTCTGTGCACAGGTGGCGTAGAGCACGCTCCTAGAAATGACCTTTTCTGCTGATTTTCTCAGAAGCCTGTACTAAGATACAAGTCGGGTTTTGCATCCCCTGTAAAGGGAATATTAATTTTGGTGAGATACTCCCCAGGATTTAAATACTTATAAAAGAATGCACACACTGCAGCTTTCTTTATTAGAATGCCGAGAATGCACCAGGTGATTAAAATGAACACAACCCCTAGTATTCAGGAATCAGTCTGGAAAGGAGTGGGAGAAATAGCTTTTCTTTTCAGAACAGGAAAAGGTAAAAATCTGCTGCTCAGTTGGTTAAAATCCTTGAAATGCACATATGTATAGAAAACCCTCAGAGCAATAAATATCCTACAAAATAAATTGTGCGGCTAACATATAACGTGTTCCCACATGTAAATTGTAAATTAGATTAAATAGATGCAGCTCAGCAATATAAACTCAAATGGTTCTCATATTACAAAGGTGCATAAATGAATAGTGAAAACAGAAATGATGTATGTGACAATAAATATGTGCTACACCCAATGTCTTCTTAACACATACACATAAAAATGACCATAGACTTGCACATAAGAGTGCTGAAATTAATATAAATACTAGATAAGTGATAAAACCAAATAAAGTATATATGATGGTGAACTGTCCCTTTTTTTTTTAAATCTCAGAAATCTTCATGTGTGTTAGTGCGGTGTGTCTCCTATATATCGTGATCCAAATAGACCAGCAGCAAGTGTCTCATAAATTCACCAAACAATGGTGAAACGTCCCTTTTTTAAATCTGCTGTACTCCAAGTGGATCAGTGTAATCACACTACTGCATAAACGTGTATGGTGTTTCTGTGTCATCCCTTAGTGTACATCCACCTCCAACACATTATTACTCTCACCTCCAGGTTTGACCCGAAATGCCAGGTCAAACTACGCTTTTTCCCTTTAACCCGGGAGGGTATACTGGTACACAGAAATTCAGCACCGTCAGCACTTTAAAAACTCTCCAGAACGCTCCACAATTCTAGGAAAGAAAACTCCATAGAGTGTAATAAAGGTAGAGTACGCCGATGACATCAGTTTTTTCACTTGTTTTCACTATTCATTTTTGCAATCTTGAAATGTACATACATCACCCAGAGGGAGTAGTTAGAATGATTGCTTTGCAGTTGTTCTGGGATTTAGGCTGTTGTGTACATTGTAGGTATGGATTCCAGTTTTTGGACCACCAGGTGAACACCTCTCTTTATCCATTGGACGTGGTCCGTATATGCTTGAAGTTGTACTGGCAGAACAGACAAAAGTATTTGAAATAATAGTAATTCTCTTGGCCATTACAGTGTGCATCCTGGCAGAGACTGAAGAGATCCATGATATCCTTAAAAGACATGGCATACACGTGGAGACAGTGGCCAGTGTCAGCCCCATCAGAGTCCAGCCGGCCAGGATCCTGAGTCACATTTATGCCAGGCTAGGTAAGTGATTCTACTGTTTCCTGTAGGGACGTAGTGGTCAGCAGATGGAGCCACGAAGTGCTGCGGCGAATGCAACAGACTGACGCACCTGAAAGTAGTGATGCACCCATATTGATGTTGATACCAAGTATTAGCATGATATACTCCCAATACCTTAACTGATACTTTGAAGTGCAATTTGTATTAACGGATGCAAATTTGCACTGCAAAGATTAGCATGCGATTTGAACAGGAACGTGATTCCTGTCCAAATTGCATGCGGTTTCCCCACTGCTCTAGTGTGAACCCAGACTTTGTCACACAGGAGCGGCGCGGGAAACCTCCCTGCAGGCATCCCATGCTGAGCCTCAGTGGTGGGAGAGGAGAGAAAGCGGCAGGGATTTGAAACGCTTTCTTTCCTCTCCTTGCAGCGATGACAGTTTGGGTTAGACAGCATCTAATTGGTCAATCAGATGCTGCTGTGTGACAAGCCTGTGTTCACACAGGAGCAGTGGGGAAACTGCATGTGATTTGGACAGGAATTGCAATCCTGTTCAAATTGCGTGCTATTCTTTGCGGTGCAATTTTGTGTACATTAACACAAATCGCACCACAAAAGTATTGGTACTCAGTATCGACAAGTACCTGACCAAAAGTATTGGTACTCGTACTCACCAATTAAAAAAAACGGTATCGGTGCATCCCTATCTGAAAGTATTGGTTTCTGAACAGACCTCACAGGAAGATTTTCCCCTTATTCATAATTATTGGTTGTGGTAATTATTTTCTTAGCCCCAGCATCCCTTTAATTGGGTAGTATGCCCATGACAGGAAGGTCTGCGTGCGTGATCATGTGACCACTCTGATTAGCTGTCTCAGTGGTCACATGATCGTGAACTGGTCACGCCAACTCCCGATCATTACTAGAGTCAAAGAGACCCAGGGCTGTCTTCCTGAGACACCCTTCTTCCACAGAAACTTCTGCCACCCATGGACACGTATGTGCGACGTGGGCGTTTAAAGCCCACCCTATTTGCTGCTGCACCTATGCATTACATGAACAGTAAGTAAGCGCAGGTTAGGGTTGCACGCTAGACGGTCCTGTAATATTCTTTGCATTCTTCCATCTGCAAATGTTTAAAGCCCACTTGGAGCTTCTTTATTTATTAGTGTATTGCAGTCAGGCTTAATAATAATGATAATAAATACTATAATATTAAAAAAAATTAGGGATGCACCAAAATTGCAGCGGCCGAAACATATCATCCAAAAAAAGCCCTATCTGCATTTTGCCGATAGGAAAAAGTGAGCCAATACAGGTGCCGATAATGAGAGACCCAGCAGTGTGTACTGCAGATGGGGGGAACTGCGCAGAAAGGCCCCTTTTTAGCGGTTTGGCGGCTCCTTCTTGGAGCTATAAAATGAAGAGAGAAAAAAGCCGCCAATTGCTTTTAAAAACCGGCAATGACATTTAGCGGTGGCAAGTAGGGGAGCCTGTCTGTACACTGTTCCCTCACTGTATACACTGCCCCACTCCTTGTAAATCCTCCTTTCTGTCTCACACACTCCCTCTGCCAGACACTGCAGCTCACAGTGGGAGGTTTTCAGCAGCAGAGGCCCTGCTGCTAATCCTGAAAGCAGTGGGCGGGACTAGGTATGGCCTGGGGCTGATTGACAAGTTACAGGCTTGTGAATCAGCAGTGACAGTGCTGAGAGCCACACACCCTGCAACACCTCATCCCAGGGCAAGCAGGCGCAGAGTGCCAACTTTAATCTGAATTTAGGAGCAGTGCAGTATTGTTGCCACCCTGTCACAGAAAGCTGCATTAGGTGGACTTCACTGGCAGGATCAACAGGTATTTGCAGGACTTTGCATGGGGAAAAAGGGAAAACTGTACGCTGATAATTAAATTCTGCAGCAAATATTTCTATTTAACCACTTGCTGACCACGCTGTAGCTGAATGACCGTTCTATTCATGACATCTATTCATGTCCACCCATTCATGTCCACTCAGAACCGTGCATCCTTCGGACACAGGTCACGGTAAAAGGCCAATCACAGCGGCCCTTTACCACCTGATCAGCTGTGTCCAGTCACAGCTAATCACAATGTAAACACACTTGCCTGTTATCGGCAGTACTTTCAGCGTGAGGAAAGTACTACCAATAACCAGCAAGTGTGAAAGGGGACAGTGCCCTGATTATCAGTGCAGCCCGAACAGTGCCTATCAATGCCAATCAGTGCCGTCAGGCAGTGCCTATTGCAGTGCCACATATCAGTGCAGCCTCATCAACGCACATCAATTAAGGGAAAAATTACCTGTTTGCAAAATTTTATAACTAAGTTGTTTTCAACACCTAGTGGTGATTAAACCAAAAGCTCTGTGTGGGGGCGAAAATTATATATACAGTGTTGCATGACTTCAAAATTCTGCAATTTGCAGAGTGCAACAGCGCTGAAAGCTGAAAATTGACCTGGGCAGGAAGGCGGTAAGGGTCCAGCATGAAAGTGTTTAACACTTTTACCGCCACCGCTGTCTGTTTTACGTCAGTGGCAGCGTAGGGTTTTACACGCACTCCTGTTGGCAGCAAAAGGGTTAATGGAAGGCCATAGTTTTACATTAAATCCTCACAAGCATTTATCAGTTGCAGTATGCCAAAACCCAATGTCCACATTTCAAGAACCGTAATTATATTTAGCACAGAAGTGCCATCTAATTATTACTTTTATTTGCACAAAGGACGCAATAAGAAGATGCACCTGACCGGAAGGCCATACAGAAATATGGGCGTCTTGGGAACTTCGAAACTGTACAGCATCCGACAGAACATTTTCGCATTTACACCCCAGGTATTCAACTCTATATCTAGTAAACTGGGCCACAGTACTTAATCAAAAATGTACCGTATGATAAATAATTTTACAGTATTGTGCTACAGTGTTCTGCTGTATGCCTTTTAAAGCTGATCTCTGGGGAAAATACAAAACAACCCTTGCCTTGGGCCTCTCCCATGACTGAATGACTTGAATGCTTGTTTCGGGTCCCATTATGTGACCATCCAAAAGTCTGGGACTGCTGCTGGGGGCTACCATCTTGAATGTGATGTCTGCAGACTCAAGGCTGTCACTCTGTGGTTGCCACATTTTCTTTCAAAGGAACCCATGAAATTATTTTCAGGTCCTGGGGGGAACCCTTGCTAAAACCAGTTCATTTGTGGTCAGTGGGAAGAATTCCCTGCTTACAGTGGTGACTTGAATTCCATCCTTGCAGCTATAAAGATCACTGGGTTCATGTTGTTGGCTCTGACAAGGGATTTTGGCCCCAGCACTATGCAGGCACCATCAAATGGAAGGTTGGTTACCCATAACTACAGAAACCCCTAGCAATCTGTAGACCGGCCATTCTCAACCAAGGTTCTGAGGAGCTCCAGGGTTTCTCCAGATGTGGCTAGGGGTTCCTTGAGCTATGCAAAATTACTTCAAATCTGATGGCGCTCTCATGGTTCCAGGAAGAGCCAGTTGGGGTGACAATCTTGTCACAACTGCAAGCGGGGCATATCTTCCACTGACCTCTGATGTAAAGGGTGCTCTTTCCAATGACCCATGATGACCTAATCTTCAGGGGTTCCCTGAGACCTGAAAATTATTTCAAGGGTTCTTCTGGGTTTAAAAGGTTGAGAAAGTGTGCTCTAGAGGAACCGCAGGGTTTCTCTAAACCCCAAAATAGAAAATAGAGGCACCTCTTGAAAGTACACTGTTAGCAGATTTATTAGATAAAACAGGGTTAAAATTCACTCACATATTGTGAAGGTAAAAACGAGCACATCAATAGTTCATAGTCCGTGTGCAAACAAGTCAGGAGCTCCCACTGTAGATGCTGCGACCACCGCTCTGCTGGATCCAAAGCTGCCTGGATGTTGCCTGGATGTTGGAGGAGGACTAGATCGTGGACTGGAGAACTTGGAGGAACTCCTTTGTGGAGTGCGATGACGTCACTGGATGTGGTTAAGTGATTTCACTAAACTCTGATTGAGAATGGCTGCTTTATAGTATGCTCCTTCGCTTCTCCCTTGGCTGCTACATTGTAAGTTATGTAGGGAGGTGAGGGGAGCGATGAAGGAGCTGGGCCAGCTTGGTCAGTAATTCGACACTCCCAAAAGAGGAGAGGGCTATGGTGTTCAAGGAGGGAGGGGAGGCTGTGCTAGGAAATTGACTTTTACTGGAAAAGCATACAAATGAGAATTGATTTACAGTATTAGTTTACAGTTTTGTTTGGGGGACAACAACGGTAAAAATGGGGTGGTTGACCCATGGTTTTATACCCCTCCTTAACGCGTACCTGCCTTTGTGCTGGGAGTGTGCCGCACAGCGCGCTCCCAGCACAAAGACCCGCGGTGTCACTGAGAGCGCCGGGTCCCGTTCTAACGACCCGGGACTCCCGTTTCCGGGTCACATGATCACTGTGATAGCCGTCAAAGGTCAGGATTTTAAAAAAAAAAATTTGTCAGTGTGTTTTTAGGTAAAAAAAAAGACAAAAACAAAATGCACATTATTATTTCTGGGCTGTACTACGGGTACAAACAACAAATAACATACACATATATGGTATCGCTGCGATCGTCAAAAGCTGGAGAATTTATTTATATTTGTTATTATTTGAGGGGTCTTCAAAACGTTTCCACACTTTTATACATATGTAGAACCTTTGTATATGTACCCCTGATGAAGTGGAACCCTTGCAATCCTTGAAATGAATAGGCTCTTTCTGGGTGAATTCAAAAGAATCTTGCTATCGATTTTAATAAGTGGAACATCAATACACCCCCAGCCGGAGATTTTACCCTTCCCTGCCCTATCCCAAGATAAGAAAAAAAAAGTTTTGGAAGAGTTGCAATTAAAGTCATTACTGAACAGCAGAGTTTTTCCTCTGTTTGGCATCTCTTAACAGTTTTTTATAGACTTACTCTAATATATAATTTTTTCATTAAGATTACAATAAGTTTTTTATAGAGCTTTGAATGTTAATAGAGATTTCGTCTACAGTTCATAGATCAACAGCAATTTTATCTAGCCCTGGATAACCGGATGATCGTAGAGATGTTGCGTACGGACTTATCCTACTTGTGTAGCAGATGGAGAATGACTGGGCGGCCCACCATCACCTTCCCAGTATCTCAAAGCATGCTCGGTAATATCTTTTCTCTTAATGAGCAGAATTCAAAGCTTTTGATTGATAAAGTTTTGCTAGAATATAGCAGACTGATGCTGGCCATCCGGTATGGCAGATAATACCATGATAGTCCAGGGAACGAATGATGACCGTCCAGTATGAGAGATAATATCACGGTAGTATAGAAGATCGGTAAAGGTCATCGGGCATGGCAGATAGTACCACAGTAGTATAGGAGACCAGTGATGGCCAATAGGTAAGGCAGATAAAACCATGGTGGTCAAGGAGACTGATGATGGCCCTTGGGTATGGCAGATAATGCTATGTTAGTGTAGGAGACTGATGATGGCCCTCAGGCATGGCAGATGTTACAGTGGTAGTATAGGAGACCGATGATGGTCATCCGGTATGGCAGGCAATACGATGGTGGTATAGGAGACTGATGGTCAATAAGTAAGGCAGATAATACCACAGTAGTAAAGTAGACTGATGAGGGCCATCAGGTATGGCAAATAATACCATGGTGGTATAGGAGACCAATGAGGGCCATTTTGTATTGCAGATTAAACAATGGTAATAAAGTAGACAGATGAGGGCCATTCAGTATGGCGGATAATACCATGGTAGTATTGGAGACTTATGAGGGCCATTCGGTATGGCAGATAATACCATGGTAATAAAGTAGACAAATATTACCATGGTGGTATAGGAAACCGATGAGGGCCATTTGGTATGGGAGATAATACAATGGTAATAAAGTAGACTGTTGAGGGCCATCTGGTATGGCAGATGATACCATGGTAGTACTGGAGACTGATGGCCCTCAGGTATGGCAGAAAATACAATGGTAATAAAGTAGACTGAAGAGGGCCATTGATTATGGCAAATACCATGATAGTATAGGAGACCAGTGAGGGCCAGGGTCCATTTGGTATGGCAGATAATACAATGGTAATAAAGTAGATTGATGGCCATCTGGTATGGCAGGTAATACCATGGTAGTATTGAAGACTGATGATGGTCCTTGGGTATGGCAGATAATACAATGGTAATAAAGTAGACTGATGAGGGCTATCGGGTATGGCAAATAATAGGAGACCAATGAGGGCTATTTGGTATGGCAGGTATTACAATGGTAATAGAATAGACTGAGGAGGAACATCCGGTATGGCAGATAATACCATGGTAGTACTGGAGACTGCTGAGGGGCATCCGTAAAGCGGATAATACCATGGTAGTATTGAAGACTGATGATGGCCCTCGGGTGTGGCAGATAATACAATGGTAATAAAGTAGACTGATGAGGGCTATCGGGTATGGCAAATAATAGGAGACCGATGAGGGCTATTTGGTATGGCAAATAATACAATGGTAATAGAATAGACTGAGGAGGAACATCCGGTATGGCAGATAAACCATGGTAGTATTGGAGACTGAAGATGGCCCTCAGGTGTGGCAGTTAACGCCCATTGTAGTATAGGAGACCGGTGAGAGCCATCAGGTATGGCAGATAATACCATGCTTGTATAGGAGATCGATGATGACCATCTATTAAGGCAGATAAACCAGGGAAGGCAAAATCTACAGATTTTCCCTCACTTTCTGTTCTGGTGACAAATAGGGTAAATCTCCCCCATAGGGACAGCAATAAATAGCTATGACCCTCCCCACTCTATCCAAACATAAAAAAATGGTTTTAGATGCACTTTGCATCTAAACTCAAAAACAAAAAAGTAATATATTGCAGCTCCCAAGTCCTTAGATGTGTTGGCTGTATTCGTTTTTCCTTATGGAGACCAAAATCATCAGTAAGTACAGCAAAATACCTCTTGATCTTGTCAGGAATGTCATGTACTTGCCTCTTCCAGTGAATTGAACTGATATAGCAAACAAAGGTATCTTCCTTAAAAGATTAGTAAACTACTAATTACCCCTCCCCCTCATTTAGTGGCGATGGAGAGGAAGATGTGTTTGTAGCCCAAGTCAGGAAAGCAACCATGGCTTCCTCTATAGATATAGTGGAGGACTGGGCATTGTCTCCCTGGGACAGGAAGTGTGTTCTTGGCAGGATCACCAGATTTAAAATAAAGGATCAGAGCCTTAAAGGAAAACGAATGCAGCCACCACATCGAATGACTGTATACCGCAATATTTTACATTTTTGTTTTTGGGTTTTAAATACTCTTTACCAAACGAATGTCAGTGCATGTATGCATGGGTAACCCTACAAGAAGTGGTCTGTGAACTCCCATCTCTCCTCTGCATTTCCTCCTAGATGAGTCCGGCAAAGACTTGGATCCAGCCGTTTTAGCTACCCTGCGGAAACTCCAGGATGGTTACTTTGGAGGTGCCAGGTGTGGAATTAAAACTTTGTTGTTTAAGCTGGTCAGTTTTAGAGGACCACATGCAATGTTTTGGTTGCAAAGTGCAATCGTGTTGTAAAGAAGACTTTCTGATAATGTGAACCAATTGAAAGACGCATGGGGCAGTGGTTGCCAAGTTGAAAATAATAACAGAGTGCTTCAAATGCATCCCCCAACACTTCCAGAGGGATGCACAATAGCTGTACACTTTTATGTGTTAAGGTGAATTGCATCAAGTTAGGCAGCCCATTCACAATGAATGGGCTGTAACGTACCTTAACACCCCAAATATTTGAGTCTTGCTGTATTTTTCATTGTATACAGCTATGTACAGCATTGGTGTCAGTGGATACTTCAATAACCCCAGCATTGGAGTCAGAAACTGCAATAATAACTCCAAAATTGGTGTTAGTGGATGCAATAATAACCCCCAGCACTGGTGTCAGTGGATGCAATAAAAAACCCCAGTATTGGTGTCAGTGGATGCAATAAAAAACCCCAGTATTGGTGTCAGTGGATGCAATAAAAAACCCCAGTATTGGTGTCAGTGGATGCAATAAAAAACCCCAGTATTGGTGTCAGTGGATGCAAGAATAACCCCCAGTATTGGTGCCAGTGGATGCAATAAAAACCCCCAGTATTGGTGTCAGTGGATGCAGTAATAACCCCCAGTATTGGTGTCAGTGGATGCAATAATAACCCCCAGTATTGGTGTCAGTGGATGCAGTAATAACCCCCAGTATTGGTGTCAGTGGATGCAGTAATAACCCCCAGTATTGGTGTCAGTGGATGCAGTAATAACCCCCAGTATTGGTGTCAGTGGATGCAGTAATAACCCCCAGTATTGGTGTCAGTGGATGCAGTAATAACCCCCAGTATTGGTGTCAGTGGATGCAGTAATAACCCCCAGTATTGGTGTCAGTGGATGCAGTAATAACCCCCAGTATTGGTGTCAGTGGATGCAGTAATAACCCCCAGTATTGGTGTCAGTGATGCAGTAATAACCCCCAGTATTGGTGTCAGTGGATGCAGTAATAACCCCCAGTATTGGTGTCAGTGGATGCAGTAATAACCCCCAGTATTGGTGTCAGTGGATGCAGTAATAACCCCCAGTATTGGTGTCAGTGGATGCAATAATAACTCCCGGCAGTGACGATGCAATAGTCAGCAGAGGTAATAAACCCCCAGCACTGGTGTCATTGGATGTCAGTTGGTGGATGCAATTATAACCCCCAACATTGGTGTCAGAGACTGCATTAATGACCCCCATTAGTGTTAGTGATAAGTGTGTTAGTGTCAGTAATAATCCCCCAGCATTGGTGTTAGTGGATGCAATAAAAACCCCCAGTATTGGTGTCAGTGGATGCAATAACCCCCAGTATTGGTGTCAGTGGATGCAGTAATAACCCCCAGTATTGGTGTCAGTGGATGCAATAATAACCCCCAGTATTGGTGTCAATGGATGCAATAATAACTCCCGGCATTGGTGTCGGTGTAGACGATAATACCGCCAATATTGGTGTCAGCAGAGGTAATATAAACCCCCAGCACTGGTGTCAGTGGATGCCTTAATAACTCTCAACATTGGTGTTGGTGGATGCAATTATAACCCCCAACATTGGTGTCAGAGACTGCATTAATGACCCCTAACATTAGTGTTAGTGATAAGTGTGTTAGTGTCAGTAATAATCCCCCAGCATTGGTGTTAGTGGATGCAATAAAAACCCCCAGTATTGGTGTCAGTGGATGCAATAACCCCCAGTATTGGTGTCAGTGGATGCAATAACCCCCAGTATTGGTGTCGTCAGTGGATGCAGTAATAACCCCCAGTATTGGTGTCAGTGGATGCAGTAATAAACCCCCAGTGGTGTTGGTGTCAGTGTGGATGCAGTAATAACCCCCAGTATTGGTGTCAGTGGATGCAGTAATAACCCCCAGTATTGGTGTCAGTGGATGCAGTAATAACCCCCAGTATTGGTGTCAGTGGATGCAATAATAACCCCCAGTATTGGTGTCAGTGGATGCAATAACCCCCAGTATTGGTGTCAGTGGATGCAGTAATAACCCCCAGTATTGGTGTCAGTGGATGCAGTAATAACCCCCAGTATTGGTGTCAGTGGATGCAGTAATAACCCCCAGTATTGGTGTCAGTGGATGCAGTAATAACCCCAACATTGGTGTCAGTGGATGCAGTAATAACCCCCAGTATTGGTGTCAGTGGATGCAGTAATAACCCCAACATTGGTGTCAGTGGATGCAGTAATAACCCCCAATTGGTGTCAGTGGATGCAGTAATACCCCCCAACATTGGTGTCAGTGGATGCATTATAACCCCCAATTGGTGTCAGTGGACTGCACTAATGACCCCTAACATGCAGTAATAGTATTGGTGTCAGTGGATGATACCCCCAGTGTGGTGTAGTGGTCAGTAATAATCCCCCAGCATTGGTGTCGGTGGATGCCTTTCCCAACAGTGGATGATGCAATATAATCCCCAACATTGGTGTCGGTGGATGCAAATAACCCCCAACATTGGTGTCGGTGGATGCAATTATAACCCCCCATTGGTGTCAGAGACTGCACTAATGACCCCTAACATTAGTATTAGTGATAAGTGTGTTAGTGTCATCCCCCAGCATTGGTGTTAGTGGATGAAATAATAATCCCCAGCATTGGCGTTAGTGGATGCAAAAATAACCCCCAGCATTGGTACAGCCAATAACAGCCCCCCCAACTTTGGTGTTCGTAAAGGGAATATTACCCCCCCTCCCGCATTGGTGTCAGTTGATGCAATAATAACCCCCAGCATTGGTGTACACACAACAATAAAAACCAGCACTGGTGTCCGTGGATGCCTTAAATAACCCCCAGCATTGGTGTCGGTGGTGCCAATAACAGCCCCCCAACATTGGTGTCAGTAGATGCAGTTATAACCCCAGCATTGTTGTCAAAGACTGCAATAATAAACTCCACATTGGTGCTCAATAGTAGTGCTACTTAACATTATTAAAAAAAAAAACACTCCCCTCTGTGTGATCTATATACATTGCAAGAATTTTTTTAGCAAATTTTGTAGCAGATTCCTGCCTTGTTCTGTTTTGAGGAAATCGCTGTTTATCCCGGTACGTACTTGCTAGACTGATTCCTGAATGGGCAGTTCTTCATCATAACCACCTGGTGCACTTTTAATGTTCTAATGATAAAATTGCAGTATCTGCATCGCTTAGGAAGTAATTGTCTATGTATGTCTTTATTAGGTTAATGATGTTACGAGTATTCCTGCCCCTTTGTGTTTTGGGGAATGCCCTGGCCGCATTTGAGTGATGACTTCCTTCGGAGTTCTGCCTTGAAGCCAAGTTCATGCCAGACCCAAGTTCATCCCTAATAGGCAGAATCTCACTACGAGTTAAATTCCTATTGCAGAGGATGCTCAGGGTTTCAGTTGTATATTAGGAGTTGATTTGCTAAAACTGCAAAATCGGGTGCAGCTCTGCATAGAATCCAAACCGCTTCCAATTTTTTTTTTTATTTGTCAAGTTTTAATTCAACAAGTTGAAATTAGAAGCTCATTGCCTACCATGCACTCTCTAGTTTTTAGTAAATCACCCCCACCGATGTCTTAGAAAATTGGTGATCCAATCCCACAATCAGGAAATTCCATTTGCGGGGGCATTCTGTACACCAGCGAAGTACACAATGCCTCCAGGTTGCCGTATTGCATTTAATTTTTTGACCATTTTGAACATTCCAGCAGATCCAGATTGAAATGGAGAAATTAATTTTTAAAACCTTTAAATTACAATATGGCTTGTCTGGCAATTTTATATGCTATATGAAGATTGAGGATTAATGATGATGGAGGATGATTGATAATTGTGCATAATTGATGATGATTGAGGAGGCTGCTGATAGATGGATGATTGAGGAGGATGATGATTGAGGATGGGATGAGGAGGATGATGGATGATTGAGGAGGCTGATGATGGGAGATGATGGTCGATTGATGATGATTGATCGAGGATGAAGATTGAGGATTGTGGATAATTGATGATTGAGGAGGCTGATGATAGGAGATTATGGTCGATTGATGATGGATTATGATGATTGATGGATGAAGATTGAGGATTGTGGATGATTGATGATGGGAGATGATGGTCGATTGATGAAGGATGATGATTGAGGAGGCTGATGATAGAAGATACTTGATTAATGACGGATGAAGATTGATGATGAAGAATGATAAATTATTACTAATGAAAATGGAATTCTCCTGTAACCTGTCAATCTTTCCTTGGTGATTCCAGGACACAGACTGGTCGCTTGTCTGATTTCCTTACCACATCCTGCTGCAAACATCTCAGCTTCATGGACCCCGGTGTGGAGGGTAAGCTGTGTGCCTGGGGGAGTGGCTCGCACAAGGGCCAGTCAATCATTGTGCAGGAGCCAGACCCGCCCATGCATGTGGCTCCGTCAGCCGATGATGGTAAGGGAGAAGGAGAGCATGGAGAACTAGGGAGTGCAAACAAAGTGGCAAAGCTGTTTAATGGTAAAACCGGGAGAGAACATTTTTTTAATTTTTGTGAAAATTTCATTTCACCGCAGTTGTCGCTGTCCAAGAACAGGAGGTCCCAACTGTGTAAGAATTTTTGATGAACGAAAAAAAAAAAATGGTTGATGCATAGCCTAAATTTTTGGAATCTTGGTTGGGCACTAAGTTCTTTTAACTGTTGTCCATCTTTGCCATTTGAAGTGTGCTGTCTTTTCACGGTTGACCAGTTGTTACTGGTGACTTGTCACAGAATAGATGCATGAGAGCAGGAGGTACTAGAGAATGGAAAAACACATCTGGTGGAAATGTAAAGCTGGACTCCGGGATAGCCAAGTATTGTTTAAATACAAGAGGCATGCGTAGTCTTACTTCGCCTCTGTGCAGGAGCTTCCTGTAATAAAGATCGATTACTGCTGCCGTGTCTCCTTTGTATAACATGGCTGGTCTTGTCTCCTCCCCCTCCTGTAGTTTTATGCAGGCAGCCTCTCATGGGTGGAGCTTCTGGGCCCCTCCCACAGCTGTACTGTTTGCACATGCTATGCACAGCACAGTGGATGATGTCACTGTTACTTTCACAAGGTTATAACTGGGTTTTGCATAGGCTTTTGGTGCATTTTATTGGGAATGTGTTTAAATCTAAGTTTATGTACCCAGAGTTCAGCTTTAAAAAATATTAAATTGCCTATTTAGACTCAATGGACCTGACTTTTTTAGCCACAGTTAAATTCACTCTAACCCCAAAAATTGTTTGTAAAAATCAATTAAGTTTTTCTATATTTTACATTGCCTTACTGGTACAAAAAAAAGCTGTTGATCCTGCCAGTAAAATTATGCTTCCTGGGGAAGGGTAACAACACTCTTTTCACGCTTTTTCAGTTTTCAAATGCACAGTCACCCTTTTAGGGCCCATTTATTTGTATTATAGTAACCCTTACTCTGTGTGGAAGCAGTAGTCTCTATGCAAAGGTACAACAAGACCTATAGCTTCCTAATCAGCAGACCTTAGGCCACCTGCTGGTTGGAGAACTCTAGCTGACTCAGAAGGGAATGTTTGAGATGAAGTGAATTTGATGGTGCTGGAACTGTAAGTGGGTGTTACTTGGTACCTATGATTGGTATTCTCAGAAAACTGTGCAAATGTTATCCCGATGGAGCATCTGGGTGATGTGTGGGCTGCTTCCATTTATCAAGGGACGTTCATGAAAAGCCTCGGAAAATTAGTATATTTGTTGGTTTGAAAGATTGGAGAGGCGCACCAGAATACTGAAATCCAAACAGGAGGTTTTCCATTGAACGTAATAACCTATGCGTTTTCAGGGCTTAAGGGCTTCTGAAGGGGAGTGGGATCTTTTAGTACACAGTCATACTGATTTTATCTATAGCTCAAGTCTCTCAACATTCGAAGACCTGATAAAAGGGGCCCCCAAAACACTTTTGATATTAAGTTTGCTACAGGTTGAGAATAGAACCTCCTGTTTGAATTTCAAACATTTTAGTGAGACACTTCAGTCTTCCCAACCAATGTGTCAGTCGAGCTGGTGTGTGTCAGACCTCTGCAGAGAGACCACTGCTTCCACACAGAAGGCAACTGTCTTCTCAAGCACCCTGGCAGGAGACAGGCTTTTCTACTCTGGCTGCTTTCTAAAGACAATGAACCGTAAGACTTTGTATTGATGCACCTGGAATGTATAGAACTGATATAAACTAAAAGTAAATTGGGCCTTAAATTTCAAAATCTTCCAGGGATATTGTTAAAGCAAATCAGGTTAGAGTGTATTTAACCAAAAGATAGTTTCTTGGGGTGCAATGTGTGGTCTTTAATACATTTTTTGTCTTGCATGATCTCACCTACTATAACCACATAGCCACTAGCAATAAATCACTTCTTTTGGGTTGCTGAGATGTTATTGATAGATGTGCTAGGGGGAATTCTCATCTCCCTTATCCCGGTTCCTCACTACAGAAGACTCTGAGGATGAGGTAGCTCAATATCTCAGCCATCTATTGAGCACCGGCGCACCTAAACCAGCACCTGCCACACAGAAAGGGGGACTGCATCGCTTCAAAGCGGCAATTCACAGCACTCGGGATCTCATATCCCTTCGCACAAAAGCTAGAAGCCTCAATGTGCAGGGTAAGATGTCTGTTCAATATAATTTTTATTGTACTTTTATATCTTTAGAAGTTTTCATTTTTACTTTTGTTGAAGTAACCATGTTGGTTCAGATCTAGTGTGTGGTGGTCAACGAAGGTCCAAAGTGTTCATTCTTAAAGAGTTGGCCAGTGGTCTCTGGTGTAGCTCAGGATGTGGTAGTTGCGGTCAACCTATGGGATGGAAACATGCAATCTTCCAAGTACGAGGGTGGAAAACAACCTGTCTCCATGCAGGATGAGGTTGGTTTTTCTCAATGCCATGGGGCTCCCAAATCTGGGCCCTATGCAGGGTTCTCGGGGTGTGAAAAAAATCAGTGAGTTTAGAAGGAATCTGCAGGAAAAGCCCATTGATAATTCCATCGGACCCCACATCTAACCATGCTTCCTGTCTTGAATAGCTTTTGCATCTAAGACTCTTTTGGAGCATGCTTGGTTACTTGCTGTGGTCTGTGGTTTCACAAGCCTACAGGTGATGAAGGGGGGTTGCTGGATGGAACCACAGAGAGCAGGGGGAGGGGAATCATGATTATAACACTCCACAAAGTATTTCTCATGAGGAAAATTCTTTGGCAGAGATCTTCTTTCATGTTTTTGAATTTTTTTTTTTCTTTGGACAGCAATATCACAAAACTAGGCAAAATGTTAAAATGTATAAGTGAACTGTTCTGGTTACCAAAGACTTTAAAGTGTTACTAAACCCTGGACTCTGCATTCACTCTATCCAGTCTCCCACTGTACACAGAACATGGAAAATGCGATTATTTTAGTAAATATAAACTGCTAAATACTTTTTCTCATCAGCAGTTGGAGCACTGTAGTGACTTCTATCAGTGTCCAGCAGAGCACTGGTTAAAGCTTGTAGGAGGCGTTTTCATTATCCCCTGATTGTCCTATGAGCCTGCATAATTGGCCCTGTGCTGATCACATGCACTCTCCCAAGAGAAATAAAAAACACTATCAGTACACACCAAACTGAGCATGTACAGCTTGCCCCCAAGGCTCTGTTCTATCAGAAAATTGATTGGGGACCGTAGAAGGGGAGGATCAGAGAAGACAGGATCAAACAGCCAGTTTTATGCTATGCAGATGATTAACCCCTTCCACAGTAAGTATAACAAGCATGCTTTACTGCATATAAAGAATGTGGGTTTAGTAACACTTTCAAATTTCACCTCAAAAAGAGAATATTGGGCCCGAATATACTTGAGTATCTCTGCACAGAGCCCCCCCCAACCACCTTATAATTTAAACTGGCACTCTGGGTATGGGGAAGCATGACTACCTTCCTGTGATATTGCTTGGGCCTAGCGGTCAGCTGTTGGGTCTGAATACTGTCACACAATTAAGGGAGTGATGTCCACACTTCTTGGTCTCTCACACTGGTGATTTCAGTGCTACCTGCAACAAGTGACTTACCCAGGTAAAGGAGTATAAGGGGTTTAGGAAGTGACCTTTGCAGAGATGATGTAACTTTGCCCTGCTTGGGAAATATAATGGTTCTTTCTTCACAAAGGTGATATGCCAACAGCATTTTTTTGTTAGGCACAATAAATTTGCTCCTTTTTCATGAATGCAAAAATGTCAACCTAAATAAAATTTAAAAAAAATGTATATGTATATATTACACACTGAAATAACCCAATTCCCTTTCTAGATGTACAGATGTATTTGCCTAGTAAGTTGTTAAAGTCATCGCAGCCCTCCTTCGACTTGTTGGATTATGCACCACAACAGCAGCAAGTCAGCAAGGTAACTCTTTTGTACATAAAGGTACACTATCATTCAAATAATGAAAAATACATAAAATGCAATATATATTTTCTAAAGACTTTCTTCATGTCTGTACTTATTTGGTCAAATATTTGTAGTCACCTGATCATTACAGCTATCTAGGGCCAAAAGTAGCTGGACACACAGTTAAGCTTAGGTGTTTCCAGTGACGGTAGACAATTTTGATCTCCCGAATCTGTGACAACAGTTTTATAGATAACTCTCTTCTGTTTATTCATGACTGTTCCCCTGTGTACAAACCCAGCTCTATAAAGACAATGTTTGACCAATTTGGTGTGTCGGAAATAGAGTGGTCTGCACAGAGACCTGACCCCAACCCTACTGAACACCTTTGGAATACCAACTGTTATCCAACATCAGCACCTGATCTCAAACCCTACTGTATACCTTTTAGGATGAATTGTAATGCTAATTATGAGCCAGGTCCTCTCATGTAACTTCGGTACCTGACCTCAACCCTACTGAACACCTTTGGGATCAGGACTTCTCATCCAACATCAGTACCTGACCTCAACCCTACTGAACACCTTGGGATCAGGACTTCTCATCCAACATCAGTACCTGACCTAACCCTACTGAATACCTGTGGGATCATGACTTCTCATCCAACATCAGTACCTGACCTCAACCTTACTAAACACTTTTGGATGAATTAACATTGATTAGGTACATGGTCTTCTCATGCAACATGACCTCACAATTTCCTATGTGACTAAATTCCTACAGACATGCTCAAAATCTTATGGAAAGCCTTTCCTGAATAGTGAAGACTGTTACATGTGAAAGAAGGGGTAATTTCATGCTAATGCCTATGTATTTGGAATGGGGGGGTCCAAAAGGCTCATATAGGTGCAATTGTAAGGTGTTCACCAATTTTAAGTCGTATTGCTTAGCTGGTGGTAGTCTTCTCACATTCAGCTAGACTTGTGTAGTAATGTTCAAGATGTTGCACCTCTCATCCAAGTGGCTTTCTATTTTCAAAAGAATGTTGAGAACATACTCCAGTATTTAAAGCTTAATTCCAGGAATTCATCAACTTTACAATAAGTGCAGGCACACCATGAGTTAAGTCTATTTAGCTGCATGTGACCTTCGGGACTTATCTTTGTTACTTATATGTGACAGGTTTATTACCTCCAGCTGTGAGAGGAGAGAAACACACAGAGTGGCTATGCCGGCTTCTCCATGCTACCCATTCACAGAAGCCTTTGTATTTTGTGAATGCTTTCACATAATACAAAGGCTTCTGTGGATGGGCAGAAGAAGGGGTGGTGTGGGCATAGCAGTTCCAGCGACTCTGGAGCTCTGAAGTTGTCTTCCTGGAGTACAATAAACCTGTCAAAAGTGAATATTAGAGATAATTCTACTAGGTGGCAGGTACCTCGTTAGACTTAACTCATGGTATGCCTGCATTTTTTACAAAGTAGCTGAATTCCTGGAATACTGCCTTAAATCCAGCATGGGTAACACTTCCATCTGCTGTCACTTCCACTCTACATGCACTTGCTCTTCCGGTGGTTGCATGGCATTTCTCAGGTCATGCTTTCTGCTGGTGACATTAGGGCATGCCTGTGCATTAAGCATCAGCATAGCTGCTTATACTGTCTGCTGGAAATGCATGAAACAACACTGGGGAGCAATTGGGGGTGAGGACTTCCCATAACAGGAAGTGCCTGAACAAAACCTTCATGGCAGGATCACCTTGGATTATTTTAATGAAAGCAGATTTTAAGAAGATTATAAAAAGCCTTTTAACCACCTCCCCGCCCGCCATATAGTAATAATGACGGACAAAAGGTGGTTCTCTCGTTCTGGGAGGACGTCATATGATGTCCTCCCATTCTCACCGTGCATGCGCGGCTCAGGGAGCACGAATGCGCGGCTCAGGGAGTGCGCAGCGCGGCGATTGGCGGTGCGCTGTGTCCCTTGGACACAGCGGATCACCAGTCATGGAAAGAGCTGAAGATGTCGGCTCGGTCATGTGATCAGCTGTGTCCAATCACAGTTGATCACATGTAAACAGGAAAATGCTGGTTATCGGCATTTCTATCCTCTTGAGCGGTCACGCTGAGAGTTCGAGAGGAGAGCCGGTAATCGGCTTTCCGCGGAGGGGACATGTACACTGATCATCAGAGCACTGATGATCAGTGTGCCCTGATGATCAGTTGTAGCCCCAGCAGTGCCACCTGTCAGTGTCCATCAGTGCCTTGTGTCAGTGCTCATCAGTGCCAGTGCCATCGTGCCATTGCCCATCTGAGCTGCCAGTCAGTGCCGCCTATCAGTGCCATGTATCAGTGATGCCTGTCAATGCCCATCAGTGCCACCTACCAGTGCCTCCTCAGCAGTGCCCATCAGTGCCACCTATCAGTGTCCATCAGTGCAGCCTATCAGTGCCCATCACTACAGCCTCATTAGCACACATCAGTAAAGGAGAAAAATCACTTATTTACAAAATTTTATAACAAAAACTAGGAAACTTTTTTTTTTTTTCAAAATTTTCAGTGGTTTTTGGTTTGTTTAAGAAAAAATAAACCCAGAGGTGATTAAATACCACCAAAATAAAGCTCTATCTGTCACAAAAAATGATAAAAATTTCATATGGGTACAGTGTTGCATGACCCACGCAATTGTCATTCAAAGTGCGACAGCGCTGAAAGCTGGAAATTGGCCTGGGCAGGAAGGGGGTATAAGTGCCCTGTAGGCGAGGGGTTAAATTGGCAGTAACTTGGTAAAGGTTTGAGATTTTGGTGACTAGGATTACATTTTCTTTAAAAGAAGTAATGGTGGTTTGATGAGAGTTTAACCATGTGCCCTCCAGAGGATTTACCCCCCTTCCTGACCAGGCCATTTTTCTTGATACAGTGCCACGTTATTTTAACTGACAATTGCGAGGTCATGCAACGCTGCACCCAAATTAAATTTGTGTCCTTTTTTTCACACAAATGGAGCTTTCGTTCTGTATGTGATCACCTCTGCATTTGTTATTTTTTGCGCTATAAACAAAATAACAATATTTTTGACATTTTGCTATAAAAATATCCAGTAAAAAAAATCAAATTTTGTCATAAATTTAGGCCAAAATGTATTTTGCTCCATGTCTTTGCTAAACAAAATCCCAATACGTGTAAATTAATTGGTTTACGTGAAAGTTATAGCGTCTAAAAATGGTGGTATATATACTGGAATCTTCTTCTTTTTTTTTTTTTTATAGTAATGGCAGCAATCAGCGACTTGTTGCAGAGTGCGGTGGGCATTTTGACACTGGGGGGGAACTGACTTGTCACTGA